CAAATTTATTGAGCAATTGTTCTATAGAGCAGGCCAATTAAAGCCAATTAAATACAGGTTCAAAATAAATCTAGTGCCTTTGTCTAGGGCCCAATGTCTCCGATTAGCTCATATGTGGTTCCAACAATTGTGTCGTAACTGCATTTATAAACCAAGCTTATGCATAACGGGCTAGAGCGCGAATTATAAGATAAATAATCGAGCATTGTCTAGTTATTTCATAGAGTTGATTGTTTGGCACAAATCCTAAATTAAGTAAAATCCAAAATTATCCTATTTAGGTTTGGCTTACATCGTTAATGATCACTATACCATCTAAGCTTCAAAAATAAGTACGTACGTACGTACCGGTACAGACTATTTCTATTTTTAGCGTATTAATTCTAGAAAACTTTTTTGGCGTATGAATTCTAGAAAAAAGGCTGAGAATTCTAGATTCTTCAATATTTCTAATATGTATTATCCCTATGTAAAAAGGTTAAAATTTTTAATTTTGACTTTCTAGTTTTTATTTTGCGTCTCATTTTAATGCATCTTATCCTTTAAATTGCAGTGGAGACAAATTTTTTTAATTAGCTATACGAGTAACACCGAGAGAAAACTAGATTTCGGCTTTCAGTTTATTTACCGGACTCAGCCCTGACAGGTAAAATATATATGACACGTATTAAATTTACATGTCTTGGATCAGGGTTGAATCCGGTAAATAAAATAATAACTTGAAAGCCCGAAGCCTGGTTTTTTTCTCGGCGTCACTCATGTATTTTATTTATTTGAAATATATCATGGTCCAGTGATCTAAATCGGACAATGGTTTCACTGCTCAATTCCTTCGAATCGGGGATTATCTCGATTCGTCAAAATAACCCACCTGCCTTAGAATTTGAATTTTTTTGTATAATATAGCCCTGACAATTTATCATTGTTTGTATTATTCAGTCGAATTTTTCCAAATTGTGTATCGGTTTATGAAGAGATCGAAAAATGAAAGGAAAAAAGGTTTATATCGTCTTTCAGAACATACTGCATGATCATTTTCACCAACACCAAATAAAAGGTCCGTTGACACACAGAATCTCATAATACGATCCCGATAGTTCTGACATTGTATGATGTCTTGAAGTTGGAAACTAATCCTTAAAGAGCATAGACTACTAGTATAAATAAATATCATTAATTATCAATGTGTCCTGTGATCCATTTTGCGGGCCGGCTTGACAACTAAATTTTAACATGGTCTTTTAAATAAATAAAATGGGCTACTAAATGGATAATTTACAGTAGCTTTAACAAATGACAAATCTCACAATTAACAAGTTAAAAAGTCTGGTAGTTATGAGTTGCATAGTTGACTATTGGATGCTGGTGAAATTTAATATAACATCCAATCAGATTTTAGATAGTCACCGGTTTCATTATTTAGTTTTACTAGCATCTATAACCGGGATTCTACCCTATCCAAATTATAACGATAAGTTCCAATAAGTGGAACAAGAATGTTCGATTGTCAAACACTGACCTCAATGGTATCAGGTTGGGGCCATCGAGATTCTGTGTAAAGTACGTACAACATCTGATTCAATTCCTAAAAAATAGCATCTATACTTTGTGTAATTTATTTTATTTACAATAGTACGCACAAGACTTTTTATTATAGTCATTTGATTGATTAATATTTTGACTGTTGATTCCTTAGCCCCAGGGCTTTTTTTCGCTCACGCCATGAGCTCAACACCAAAGTAATTGAATTGGCCAATCAGAATAAGAAGATCAGGTTGTCAAGGCGAGAAACTAGTTGATCTACAAATTATTTAGTTATTTTTATAACGATAATGAATTTACAGATATAGTGCACAAGATTCGATAAAAAGTCTCATTACGGCAAGAACGATCCATGAAAAATATTTTTAAATATTTTAGTCTATACGATAAAAATGATAAAAATGGTAACCTACACATTACTTCTTGATCTATTTAAAATTTCCCGTTTTATTATCCATTATTATATATATATATATAACTATACATAATTGTAACAAGGCTACATAGTTGTTTCCAGATCACCACGTCGACACAAATTAGAAATGACCCTTACAAATGCTCGGATCGCAAGAGCTTATGCACTAGAGTGAATATGTTTTCATTATTGTCTAACATTCAACGTTAACACGTACTAACCGATTTGTAAAACTTGAAGTTGGTTTCTTTGTATTATTTTCATATGTATCTTTTTCATAGTGGATAAAATGGAACCGTTTCACCAAAATTTTTCTTTGGACGATAAGACTATACAATATCCATTCGCTGAAAACGAAAGAGTTCCAATGTGGCTTGCTGCCGTAAGTAGCATGAATCACACTCGTCTGAAAGCAAAATTTCTAATATTATTCTCTTTATTTAGGTACTCGATGTTGTTGTTCCGTTTATCATATTAGGAGGCTTTTCTTTGTGGCAAAGGAATTTACGTGATTGGCACCATTCTTCATTAGGTTTAATATTAAGTCTCACGCTAACACTGGCGGTGACTGATTTCTTTAAAGTAATATTATCTTTCATTAAACTAATTACAATTAGACCTTCCTAAATGCATAGCCGAGGGGCCTATATGAAAAAAAAAATCAAAAATTCTTGCATTTAGTGAGGTATTGCATTTAGAGAGACAAAAATCTATATGTATTATATGAGTAGGGGCCAAATAAGACCATACATTTAGAGAAGTTTTTCATAGACTATTCATTTAGGGAGGTCTGACTGTATCTTAAATATCCGTCATTAAAATTCATACAATATTCTAGACTTTTGCCGGACGTCCTCGACCAGATTTCATTAACAGGTGTGACCCATTGCCTGGGTCTGTTGATGCTAAGCCTTTCGGACTTAGCAATGCAAGCATCTGTCAACAAACGGATAGTGCTATTATGAAAGATGGTTTCAAAAGTTTTATATCTGGACATTCTTCAAGTGGGTTTTAATTTATAAATACATGAATTTATCTTTCATGATGAGTACTTATTTACAACGTTTATTCATTTGATTAGTTTCATTTGCTGGATTGGGATTTTTAACACTTTATTTGGCTGGGTTAGTAAGTTATATCTGTCTAGAATCTTACTACATCAATTTATTAATTTTATTATTTGCTATATTCTCTAGCAAATTGCGTGTATTTGATAACAAAGGACATGCGTATAAAGGTTTTATCGTGCTTCTTCCATTAGCTCTTGCAGCATACATTGCAGTCACACGAACTGAAGATTATCGTCATCACTGGCAAGACGTTGTAACCGGTGGATTGATTGGTATGTTAATTCATTACACCTTATTTATTTTGACGATTCATTTTTATGATCAATGACTTCAACCATTGTTATGCATTTAGGGTTTTGTTTTTCGTTCTTTTCCTATCATCAGTATTATCCTCCTTTATATGCGTGCAGCGCAGGTATACCTTTACCAATTCGATTAATTCCCCATGATCCAGAATACAAAGCACACTTCACTTTTGAAGATGGTACAAATTTTGAGGTCAATGTTGTTCGAAATGATGGATCTACTGTTTTGAAAGACACAAAGACATTTCAAAGTGCTACTAACAATGATGATAATGAAGATCCTCATCGACTTGTCTAATCTACCGTGTAGAACTGCTTATAATCATATATAATATATAATATCCTTTAAGACCTGCACATTATTTATCATATCTATTGATCTAACTCTTGAATAATACATGGAAGGTGAATTATTTTAGTTTATTAATTTTCACATAATTTGTTTCGGAAATATACACGAAGTACCTCCTAAGTATTAATCAATTTAAAAAATGATGGTTCGAATAAGACTGCGTATTATAAGCAGTGCTAAATGGTAGTTTACACAATTTAATCCTTAATATCTTTAGAGAAGTGTTCTTTATGTGAATACAGTAACCTTAATTTACTGATTTTATTTGTATAAATATTGTAAAATTTAAGCTATACAAAATAAAAAATAAATAATTTAAACGGGTCCGGAAACCCGATATTTTTTTTTTGATTTTATAAAATTAGATTGATATAAAGTTGGTTTTATTTAATTACACCAATGCTCAACTCCATGTATATTTTTTATGGTAATTTTTACTATTCAAGTTTAGGATTGGAGTAAATTGGCTGAAGCTGAAAATTTGGGGTCTCAATTTAGATCCATAAACCCCATTTACACTTGTTTATTATAAATTCTACCCATAAAACTGACCCTAACCCTAAAAAAAAGTCAAAACAAAATTTTTAAATTTTTTCATAATAAAATAGGTCAAATTTTCATCTTCAGCCATCACACAATTAATGTTAATAAGAGATGTTGAGCATGTTTGCTTAAGCATCGAATATTAATACTTTGTTATAGTGGTTTAGCTGATTTATCTATTAGCCAACATATTGGTCAAATAAACGACGTACATACCTATACTTACTCTTTGGTATATATTAAGAGGTAAAGTACATATTAATTAAAGTAATAAGTTTCATAGCAAAAATGTTGGAAGTTATTATAGTTTTCCTATAATATTGGAATGCAGCTAACTTACCATGAAAAACATCATTGATTTCTAACAAATGTTGTAGAGTAAGTTATTCTGGTTCTAATAGACGTAAAATTATAAAAATTTTAACGAATCGTGAGATATTGGTCTTTTTCTCTTCGTAACTAGGCATTCCAGCGTTATATAGCCGATTTTTATTTTTTACTATGAAATATATATCCTTTAGCTGTGATTTACCACTTAAAGATTCTTTATACAAATTTTGAATACTAGCTAAAAATAAAGTTAAAAAATAATAAGTTAAATAATCTTATATATGTTAAGTCAAAAGACTTTCCCATTATAAAGCATCATACAATTTTTTTTTATAATGATTTCAATATTTCGACCCAAAAAATAGGATTAAGATTATTTTTAACTCTCTATAACTTGCTCAAACTCTATATGAAGAATCTTTAAAGCATAAGTATTTAAACTTTAAAATCAACTTTTTTTCTTTTATAAATTTACATAAATATTTACATATAACATTTAGGTAATACTTTATATTTGTAGAAATTTCTGTTAAAAATTTTTGTGGTATCGTTCTATTTAGCGCTACTGAAATTTGTTTACATATTTAAATACCACTCATTTATTAAATTTATTGTTCCTGCAGACACATGCTAATTGATTCGAATATACAGTGTAAGTGAATAAATTGAAATAACATATATACACCTTAATAAATATTGAATAATAAATATACAAAATTGCATAATAATAAATTGTTCCTGAAAGTAAATATCATAATAAGCATCAAATAATGTTATGTTAAAAAAATAGCAAAATTAATTTTGCGATAATCCCCAAAGTTCACTAATACCTAAAGTTTAACTTAATATTCAACTTCTTCCCCACCAAGAATCAAACATTGTACCTTTCGTAATTGACGTTTTAGCCGTCTTCAAGAAATTTCCCATGTTACCAACACCATCTACAACTCCACCTACCATATCAGACATGGAACTTACAGAAGTGGCAGAAACAGGACGTAATGATATCGGGCGTTGACTATCAATTAAGCTCTCATATTGACTAGGTGTACGTGAAGTTTGTGAAAGAGAACTATAGTGTGGCTCGTCAAAGTTGGCACGAGCTTGACGAAGTTCTTCAAGAATCTATAAAATTTAAATGTATATATTATGTATTATATATTACTGTACTATATAATGTCTAGTCATAATTAAAATACATACCTTTTCGTATAACTCAATTTGCCCGTCCAGATACTGTTTTGTGTTTTCTTGAAAATCTTGGACGCGTTCATCATGAATCCGATCGACTTCAGCAAGTGTCACATTGAATACTGTGTCGCAACGAGAACGAATTGTTTCAGCATCTATATCCTTTGTAAATATGGATATAGTTAGATCGCAAATTATTTATCTCATTATTAAATTGATATTGAAACTTACATATTCTTGGTCTTTGCTTATATTTTCTTCAGAGACTTCCTTAAATTTTTTATGCGTGCCCATATGCGTGTCAATAAGAAGCTAAAAAAAATGAAATGAATTATTCAATTGGTACGTATATAACATTCTTCAGGTAAAATATGTATACATACTTCGTAACTTCTGGCTGGATAATTATACTCATTAAGATTTTCAATCCATGGAATGCACGTGTCAGTTATCTAATGAATCATAATCAGATTAGTTATATAGGCACAAAGACGATATTAATGAATTAAATTTTGTGCATACATGTGATTTATACATATCTGCAATTGTTTGCATGCTTTCAACGGTGGATTGGAGTGCTTTAGTAAGACTAAGACAATCTAAGTATAAACATATTAGAATATTAATAATTGTATTCAAAAAGCTGAAGTTATTATATTAAATTCAGAATTTGCGATTCTCACCTTTACATCCATCCCTCCAGCACCATGCGCCATCATCATTTATAGAATCATTACTTTCACAAGCATCATGACCTGTAATGAGCCTAAGTAATGCGTAGCCAACTCTACGGTATTGATGTTGCATTTCTATAATTTTTAACAAAATTTAGTAAAGTTCAAATGATGAAAATTCATGTAGTTAATAGAATATAATATAATAAATAAACACCATCTAGCGAGTATTTATGGGCCTGTGATGCTTCATTAATCCATGGCATCAGTTTTTCCATAGCTCGGGCATGTGCCTCAAATCGCTCTATGGTATCGATTTCTCTGCGATCGATGAGTAAGATAAATACGAATGATACAAAATTTTTCGCACTGAACTTCATTATTCATACCCATCATCGACATTGAACTCTGGGTGGTAAACATGTTGAAAAAATGCATGACCAACAAGTTTATCATTTTCAAACTGCTTTTCTCGTTTACGCCATGCCTAATTTATATATATATATATATATATATAATCAGTTATACATGATTAAAAAACAAAAACATATAAAATGTGGTATGTAAACGTACCGAATCATCATTACAACTAAGAAAATGAGTCAGAATTTCTGAATATCGAATTATTGGATGACGAGCCAACCGATTGATAAATCTTTCCAAAGCACAACGACGCTTTTCTATAAATTCCTCATTAAAACGCCCTAAGTATATAATTTAAGTGTATATTTAAAAACTGACCGATCATAATAAATGTAACCATATAATTTATAATACATGAATCGTACCAGAATATTGCTTTTCGGGAAGAGGAGGTAACACAAATGCGGCAAATTTATTTACCAAACGGTTATACAACCACTCAAATTGACTGAACCTCCTTTCAACAGTAATTTGAACACCTTCTGAGAACTGTAAACATTGTTTTTGAAACCAATCATTGAAATCGATTATCGTTTAATGAAATCGATTATTAAAATAAAGTCCTACCATAGATGTTACGTGAAAGATAGTATACTCCTGAACACCTCCAAGTTTAACACGTTTTTCGGGATTATGCACCATAACTTTAAAGCTTGGCGATTTCTCTAACCAACTCGGACCACCCTGGTTTTAAAAAGGTACACTTTATTAAGCGATGTCAAGACATAATCAATAGACATAATTAATTACATCCGGTCGATTACCTTACCTGTATATAATGTTTATCAGTTTCAGTTACTTCCTCATCGAAATTTTCACCTTGTAGTGGTTGACCACCACTTATGATAAATTCTTCGACGCCAGTTGTAACAAACCAACTGAATCGATTCAATTGACGTTTCCTTAATATCGTACTGCTACGTGATGATCCATTAATTGACCCATTAATTGATCCATTAATCGACCCATTAACTGATCCAAATATTGACCCAATCATTGAATCACCATCCATTGAATCGCGTACTGAATTATTTGAATTGAATGTTGATTCAACTGGAGAAGTAGACAACTCGGCAAGTCGATAAGATAGTAGTGTTGAAAAGGTAGAATTTGGAAGCTCAGTAAACTCTGTAGTGTACTATAAAATAAAATAATAAAATGAATTTATTTTTAAAATAAAATCAGGGAGCAATCGCGTAGAAACAACATAAGGTGAGTGTGGGTATTATGGCGAAGCTAACACTTCCTACTAATAAAATTAAATAAAAATTTTTTTTTGATAATTTTTTTTAAAATTTATATGAATTTTATCTTAACAATTATATAAAAAAAAAAAATCGAGTTCAATATAAAATTATATTATTTAGAGGGCTAAAACTTCTAATTTCGTGAGGGTATTATGGCGAACGTATGATCTTTTTTTTATTTCTTCATGTGACCTGGACCTTGATGATTTTCTTTAATTAAAAATCGGGTTATACTTAAAAACGGGGTTCTTCTACTAAGCAAATCGAACTTTACTGACTAAGTAAAGTTGTTCAAAATGTCATCTTTTACTTACCCTCAAATTTTGGTGCAATATGGATAGCTTTTTATTAATAGATTTTTTCGTTATACGTTTTGGCGCAGAAAATTCCAAAGTGTATAATGAAAAAACCTCTTAATAAAAAGTTATCCGAATTGAACCAAAGCTGATGATAAGTAAAAGATGGAATTTACAATATCTTTACTTAATGGATAAACTTCGATTTTCTTAGTAAAAAATCAAGTTTTCTTGTAATATGTTTAATTCGTCACAATACCCACATTCGCCATAACACCCACACTCACCTTATAATTACATAAAAACGACATACTGTAATATAAGCTTCAGGAACGAGCCCAGTTACACCGTCCTTTTCAGCCAAAGACCACCCATCGGAAAGTTGACCCTTTATAACGTTAAGAACGTCACCAGCTCGAAAAGATAACTCTGACTCTGCTTCACCCACAAAGTCATATAATGCTCTAGCCTGTCGACCAGTCGGAGGTGGCGAGAACATTTCAGAAGCTCTAGGTGTCTTATCGTCTTCGCTATTTAAAGAAGCGGATCGTGGCGATTCGCTTAACCTTTCTGAACTTACTGAAAAGCCTCGCTTTTGAGAGCTTATTGAAAGTCCTGCGGGCTTTGGAGGAACTGCTGGACGTGGTTTTGACGACATATGGGGGGTGGTCAATAGAAACCAAGCAAATTGTTTCTAAATAATTTTTTTTTTTTTAAACTTTAAATTACAACTAAACCTAGCTTAATAAAAATTATTTATTTTAAAAAAAAATTTACTAAAAATAATTTGCTCCCCCCATAAATTAAGGAAAACGTCGTCTGTACATAGTTTAAATCTTTTTTTATTAGAGGACCCCTTAATGTTTTTTACTGGATTTGGTAATATCAGGGAGAACTAATGCGTTCCACGTAATTACGCTTCGAGATACGTATTCTAAAGGGCATCTTTTTTGAATATAAAAATAGCATTCAGATTTTTATTTATCGATGCAATAAAATACGTAATATGATCTATTGTACTTCCCTTTTTTTTTTTTTTAATTGTGCTTTACCTGGTTAGAATTGTTGGCTTAATTTCTGGATTCACCCGGATAATTAGTAAACGGCTATAAAAATCCAGCGGGTTGGTAATAGCGGTATCCTGATCCGTTGATTTAGCGGAAACGAAGTTTTCACTTATTCACATACGGATCAGGGTATAGTGAACCCTCTCAAGTGCGAAGAACTCTAATTGCAAAATTCCATGCTATAAGTGCGTTATGTTTAGGGTATTGCTATTGTCATCCCTTTACATAATCTAAATTTAATCAATAATTAGATTATTTGAGTTATTTTCCAATGAAATGTTACATTATTCTACCGGAAATAAATTTTCTAAATACGTATGATCTTGAGATGATGATCAAGGATTAAGAAAAAGCGGTGGATCAAGCACTAGTAATTTGATTAACCTTATCAGTCTTAGCCGCGCAAAATTTGATCCATAATGATTAAATATGATCGACTACTCCTAAAGTTGATCGCTTTGACAAGATGGGCTTTGGTCATCAACCAATATCAATACATCTTTTTTGCGAATAAATTATGTCATCTAACGTCTTTTAAAAAAGGCTTAGAATTAATCACAAGAATCAGATCCTTTAGAGGCCAAATCTAATATGGTAAAAGTTAATAAATAAATTTTACAGGTTTTGTTATTCCATCACTTATATGTATTAAGAACATTGAAAACATTAAAAACATTGAACCCTTATTGAAGCAAAGGCTTCTTTTAAAAATATGTTTAATAAAGTTATTTTTTATAAAGTAAAATTATTAAACAAAAATTATATGATTGAGAAACAAAAACATTAATATTGATTAACTTATTTTTTTTAACTTTGGCAGTCTTGCCAATAATTTTTTGCTAAGTTTATTATATTGAAAAAAAAATATACTATTGAGCTTAATTTCTAGACTCGACATTTCACAATTACTTCTATAAGCATTTACAAGTAACTTATTGTACCAAATGATACCAAATTTCTAAAAAATATATTCAAAAATAGCTATTAGACTATTAACCTACAATATAATACTATTTTATAGAGAAGTAAAAAAAAAAATAACTATAATCAAAGAAATAAAAGAGTTTATAAAAAAAATTATATATTGAGAACAAAAAAAAATTATTAATAAAAAAACTTGGTTATTTTAAAACTTCTAATATTACAGTATATAAAATATCTAGATTGTAACTTAAATAATTTATTTTTCTTATTTACTTTAAGGGTGTCTGCTAAAGCCTTGTACCTATATGACTTTTTCTATATAGATTACCAATCAAAATCATTTATACAGATTAGTTTGAAGAAATTAAAAATCAAAAATATGAAAAAATATGAAAAACGGCAGTCTAAACCTGTTTTGGTATATTAATTAAAGAAAATTTTACTTATATACCTGCTTTTACCTTAAAAATAAACTAACCCTAACCCTAATTACAATTAAAACTTCAAAAGTTACAGAGTATAAGGCTTTAGTAATCCCTCTTTAAGAGTAGGATATATGTAAATCATTTTTCATATAATCTGCATAGTATATTAAATTTTTACAAAGTAAATAAAAAATGTTTCTAATTAAACTTTTTAACATCTTAAATAATTTTTATCAAATTTATATAATATATAGTTTAAACTAGTTTGTTTATAATAGTGAAGTTTCGGAATATACATTGATTTAAAAAAAATAAAATTTATATATATTTAAGTTTTTAGTGTTGCTATATGTTTTTTCAGAATTACACAAAAATTGCTAGTTCTGATTGGTCAAATCATATGATGTTTACATATAAATTATATAATATTATATACACAAAGTTGATGTACAATCTATTTTATATGAAATTAGAAATTTGTATATCCTATTCTTAAATATTTGTTTTATATCTAGAAAAATAAAAACTATATCAAAGTCTGAAGAATCAATTATTACAATTGACTACAATTAATCTAGCCAAAAAGCATTATTTATTGATTGTTTTGATTGTTTTTTTTATGTTACATCTGATCTAGCTAATCAAAATTTAGAAGTTACTAATATACAGACATCAAGTATACTATTGCTCTATTTGTATTATTCTTCAGACAATTATTTAGTATAAAAATTTTTTAATTAAAATTTAATAAATTATATTAAGAGTATTTCTATTTGTACACTATGTGTACATACACGGGTAATAAGAAAGCCAATCAGATTACACGATCAGGTGTAATGCAAAATTATCGCTTTTTTTAAAAAATCAATTATAACTCAAAATTTCGTTTATAAAACAACCTTTCATGTATTAATAAAAAAAATTCTTTGCGAAATTTTGGCATAAATTATCCCCTGCCATCATCCTCAGTTCACCCTTATCCTAACCTTTAATGGTGCTCAATTTTTTGTTTTATATGAATTATTTTGATTTGCATATTACACAGATTTGCAAATTAATACCCGTGTATATACACTACATGTAAACTAAGAAATTTTCTTATATTAATTATTTAAAAAAAATACAGTTGGGAATTTTATCATATTTGGCAAATGATGATCACATCTTATTTAAAAATAATCAACAAGCAGATTATTCTAGATTTTTGTCTATGCATTCAATAATTGACCAATCAAATTAGGATTCAAATTATTCATTTTGCTCTTTCCATTTATTTTTACAGTTGCAACGCTATATATGCACGTTTCATAAATACAAACCTCTCTAAATGCATGGTATAACCCGGTCCCAGCTTAGAAGTGCTTTATATATTTTGCTCTATATAAATG